TTAAAATATACCAAGAAAGAAAAGCTTGTAGTTAGTTCAAGGATCACTGGCCTTTAAGAGTGTTTTCCAGTCCAGTCTGTTGGGGCACCACGCCTACGGCAAGGATCTTTTGTAGGTCTGGGTTTCTTCTAACATATTCTTTGAGTTATTCCTTGTTTGGGAAGACTCTTACTTCTCCATCTATCGTGATCTATAATTTGGCTGGGTAGAGTATTCTTGGGTTTGCTTTGTTTTCCTTCAGTTTTTGGAATATCTTACTCCACTCTCTCCTCTTCTTCATAGTTTCTGCTGATAGGTCTGAGCATATTCTCATTTGGGAACCTTTATATGTGATTGCTTGTCTTTCCCATGGGCTCTCATGTTTTTCTCCTTTTCCTTAAAGTTAGATAGTTTATTATGTGCTTGGGTGACTTCTTCTTGGGATTCAGTCTAGCTGGTGTTCTTTCAGCCTCCTGAATGGTTGCCTGGTTTTCATTTATTAAGTTGGGGAAGTTTTCCTCCAAGCATTCTCTCACAATTGTTGCAAATGACTTTGTTGTATCTTCCTCTGGTAATCCGATTATTGTGATGTTGGTCCTCTTCATATCATCAGACATAGCTCTTAGGTTTTCTTCAGCTTCTCTGATGATCTTATTAGATTTTTGTTCTCGTTTGTTAAAGTCTGCTTGGCTGTCCCGCAAGTCACTGGTGTGGTTCTCTGCTTCCTCCAGTTGATTCTCGAGGTCTGTGAGTCTGCTATTGGATTTTGTTATCTCCTTCATAAGCTCTTGCATTTCCCTTTGGTGTATGGACTTTATCTCCTCCTTCATTTCATCCTTTTTCTGTATTGTTTCCCTCATATCCTGTATGATGACTCCAAGCAGCATTCTGAAATTTTCTCTCTGTGGCAGCTCGATGTCTGCTTCTTCTATGCATGTCGTTAAGTTCAGAATATCTTCTGCCATTGCCTTTTGTTTCTCCTGTTTTTGTCGTTGAGGTCGTTAGGGCTGATTGCTGTTTGCGTTGCGTTGTTTTAGAGGAGCCAGGTGCCTTTTTCCAGGGAGTCAAAGAGCACTGGCTCTCTCTGGGAGACTTGTAGGAAAGCTTCATCGAACTGCCTACAACTAATTTCCCTATGGAATTAGCCTACCACTTTATCCTCCTGTGGTTTCACTCTAAAGGGGAGTGCCCCAGAATGCTGATGGGTTGCCTGCGTTGGTGTAGAACACTGCGAATCATGGGAGGAATTGTCCTGGCCAGGTAGATCACTGTGGAGGTTGGGCAGAGGTTCCTGCAGCCGCTTAGAACATTTGTTAGTGTTAGCCGAGCTGCCTTAGGTAAGGTGACCAGATTTTAACATTGATAAAGCGGGACAAAAGCCTGACACCATTGATAAAATTCATATCCTGGTGAAATAGCCACATGGCAGCCGAAAACCGGATACCCTAGCTTGTCGTGCTTTCTTTCCAAAAACCAGGACTTTTTTTAAAACACCGCGGGATGTGGGAAAAATTGTTAAAAATCAGGACTGGCTCGCCAAAAGCGGGATGTCTGGTCACCTTAGTCTTAGGCCGTGTGAGGCACTAAGGTAGGAGGGAGGAAGTTCCCTCTGTGACTTGGGACCAAAGAGGAAAAATAAGAGCTCCCCCAGCCACACAGGCAGGAATTCCCCAGTGAGAAGTTGGGCGGATATCCCCTGGTGGCAGCTGGAATTTCCCAAGCCTCTGGCTACGCTGCACAGGGCAGAGCTCATGTAACTGGGTGGGGCACAGGTGTTGATGCCCTAGGCTAAGGGGAGTGGTCTAGAGGTCAGCAGTGGTGTGTGAAAGAACAGGGAAGAGACAAAGAGGAGAAAAAATAAGGAAAAAACTAAGCCTGCTGAGACTGGGGGGATTGAGAGAAGAGAGGGAAACAAAAGTAACAATATAGCTGAGACCCGATCCCTGCCTGTGGGGCTGCAAGGGTTTAATCCCTGCCCCGGGGCAGCGGCAAACTGTGGATGTGTTGAGATTAAGCTCCTATACTGACTCCAAATGATCAAACCCTAGCTGGCCTCCACTGTGGTAAGCCAAAACCCCCCAGCCCCTCAAAATCCTGTGGATCTGAGCCTACTTACCTTTATGATGCTCCTCCTGTGATCCAGCAGTGTTGAATTTCACTCTTAGTAACTCTCCTCGGCTGATTTCTACGGAGTCCCTCTGGTATGCCTTACTTAGTCGCCATCTTCCCGGAAGTCAAGACAGCAGGACATGGATCTGTTTGCTCAGACTGCAAAATATTTATTTCTAATGACAAATAATTGAAATGTTGTCTTGAAGCATGGTGTAGCATGGGTAACAGTCTTCATGTCAGTTCCATGTATGTGGGTTTATCTGCATGTGGGCGGACCCGCCTGGAGATGGATAGAGGAGCGGTGTCTTGGTTCCTAAGCCCATCGGAAATAATGTTTTCCGATGGTCTTAGGCAACCCTTGTGAAAGGGTCATTCGACCCCCAAAGGGGTCTCGACCCACAGGTTGAGAACCACTGTGGTAGTGGCAGAAGACTCTGCCAGACAACACAGATGGGCAGATGAACTGACGGACCGATGTGTAGAGCAGGACCCAGGCAGCTCCACACCTCCTCTCCCCCAGCTCAAGATTTTACCCCCAGCTCCTGGCCCAGCAGCAGCAGTTTTTGGGGAAGTGCTGGTGAGGTGTCTTCAGGGCATGCTGACTGGGTTGTAATGTCCAGTTTGGACTCCGACTTTGTCCTCGGTACAGTGAAATGATTTTGGAGCCCTGTGCAGGCTGTCCCCAGTTCAGGGGACTTTTAGAGACACTTCGCTCATAGGTGAAGAGCAGGATGAGAGAATATCGGGTGATGGCAAGGGTGGGAGCTCCGGAACCAGACTTATGTAGACTGTGGGCTTGGCAAAGGTACACAAACCCTGTGCTTCCATTTCCTTGCCTGTTAAAAGGGGATAAGAGGTTATTGTGAGGATGAAGTAAATGAATACCTAATGCTAGTCAGTTAATGCTAATGTTAAGGGCATAGCATGCAGTAAGTGCTATCTATGAGTGTCCATTGGTGTTCCTGCTGCCCCGCTCCCCACACAGGAGACCGGGTTCCTGGGCCCAACTCCTGCATCCAACCACGGACCCAGAAGAAGGGGGCGCTGGACTCAGCCGGGGGTGGCGCTGAGCGTTCGCTCCATGCTGGACCTGCGGCAGCTGGACACACTAGCTCAGAGCTCTCAGGGCTCCAGCCAGGACTCTCTGGCCAAGACCCTCTCTGGTTCTGGGAAGTCTGGTCAGCAAGCCCCTGAGGCCTCCCACGCTAGCCAGGTGAGCCAGCTGCAGCCTCAGTCTGGCTCTGTTCTGCAGTGCGCATGGTAACCCAAGCTGCGGGGGTGTGGGTGGGGGTGTCAGGGGGGAGGTCTGAGTGGATGGTGGTTGGGGTGGGCAGTGGGGAGAGGGAAAGGTGGCCTTTGTCCTGGGTGTGGTGACCTGGAGGACCCTTGGTGGTACCTGGTGGCTGGACGTTGGCAGCCCAGGGCACTGATCTCAGAACACCAGCTGGGGCCCAGGCTGGCTGTTAGCTCCCCTCCGTAAGTCCTCGCCCAGCCACTTGCCAGGGCACCGCAGTAGTGTGCCTTTGTGTGTTCCCAGAATGAAAAGCCCCTTTGGCCGTAGGTTTCCCAACTCTGTTCCTGCTCCCACGTTATCCGATTGTTGTCCCAAGAGGAAGGGGTCTTTGCCCAAGATCTGGAGTCTGCTCCCATCGAAGATGGGACTGTCTACCCGGAGTTGAGTGACAGCCCCACCCCGGATACCAGGCAAGGGTCTTGCCCAGGCCAGCCTCGAGGGGTCAGGCATCCCCCAGTTTCCCCTTCCTGCGGAGTAGTTTGCACTCTTTGCAAACTACTCCACAGGCTGTGCAGGGAGGGTTCTCAGGGTTAGCCTGCCCCCTCTTTGCTGCCTCCTCTGGCCTGCTCACAGGCAGAGTTTGAGAAGGAGGCTGTGGGCTGCCGCTCTCTTCTCACTGCACTTCCTTTCCATGCCTTGTTGCAGTGAGTTCCAGGTGCAGGCCCCGGCCCGCAGGGTCCTGGGGAGAGTGTACCCAGGCAACAGGGGCTCAGAGAAGCACAGCCCTGACAGCGCGTGTTCGGTGGATGACAGCAGCAGCCACCTTTCCAGCCCTGAGCATCCCAATGAAGGTGAGGCCAGCAGAGAAGGGTGGGGGAGGGGCGGATCGGGGCAGCGCAGTGTGATAGCTACACCCTCCCCCCCCCACTCCCCACATCCAGACTCTGAGAGCACGGAACCCCTGAGTGTGGATGGCATCTCCTCAGACCTTGAAGAGCCAGCTGAGGGCGAGGAGGAAGAAGAAGAAGAGGAGGGAGGCACTGACTCCTACAAGCTGCAAGAAGGCAGCCCCCACACCCCGGACCAGGAGCAGTTTCTCAAACAGCACTTTGAGACCCTGGCCAATGGGGCAGCTCCAGGTGGGGCTGAGGACTCAGCACTTGGCCACTGCATATGGCCCTTCTCCCCACCTGACCTAGCTGAACAGGAGGGTCCAAGGGCGGGATCCCACTCTGGGCTTCCCTGCAGGGGAGGTAGAAGGCTGGCCCGCCCACTGTCTCCATTCTTGATGTCTGTCCCCCTGGCAGGGGGCCCAGTCCGGGTGCCAGAGAGGACAGAGTCTCGGAGCATCTCTTCACGATTCCTGCAGCAGGTGCAGATACCCCCACTCAGGTATGGAGACTTCTCCCCCAGCAGCTTTGCACTCCTGTCTGGGCTCCCGGCAGGGCCCACCCTGCCTCCCTTCAGGGCATCTATCTGACATGCCCATGACTGTTGGGGACAGTTGGCTTGGTCCTGTGCCTGTCCTCCCTCCTGGCACCCTGGCCTGGTGGAGCGCTGAGCCTTGTCCAGGCCTACGTCCACGTTTCACCCTGTAGGGAACCATCACCAGCAGCCTCCAGCCCAGCCCTACAGTCCAAACCAGTCCAGGGACCACAGGTGTCTGGTGAGCAGCTGAGAGGCAGTGATGCCAACCCCCCGGGTGCTCCCCCAGAAGCAGAGCCTTCCCCCGGCAACCCTGGACCCCAGCAGACAGCCCCCATGCTGTTGCCACGACGCCGTTTGAGCCCTGACAGCAGCTGGGCCTCCAAGAGAGCAGCCATAGCCGGTTCCGTAGGTGGACTCCATGAAGCCCAGTCTGTGCACAGCCTGGGGCCGCAGGGTGAGGAGCCTGGTGGATTCTGCTCGGGGTGGAGGTGAGGTGTGAGGTGCAAGAGGATGAGAAAAAAGGGGTAAGCTTAACGTGGCGTTTCGGTGTCACACCTCGCCCGGGATGCCCCTGCGCAGGTGTGTGCAGAAGCGTAGGTAGCCTTCCTGGGCCCTGGAAGCCTTCCTCACCCCTGCCCTGTCCTGCCTGTCTCCTCTGCAGATGAGACCTCTGTACCAGGCCCATTGCTCACCAGGGAGACCAAGGCCCCAGAGGCCCTGGGCTCCGTGATGCAGGCAAATGGCTGTCCACCGCCGCCCCACTCCTACCAGAACCCTACCACCAGCTCCAAGGCCAAGATAGCCCGCAGCATCTCTGTCGGGGAGAACCTGGGCTTGACTGCTGAACTGCAAGCTCCGTCTCCAGTCCGAGTCTCACCACTCAGCAAGCTGGCCCTGCCTAGCCGGGCCCACCTGGTCCTGGACATCCCCAAACCACTGCCTGACCGCCCTACCCTGGCCACCTTCTCACCTGTCACCAAAGGCTGCGCCCCTGGAGAGGCAGAGCGAACTGGCTCCCCAGCAGGCCTGGGGAAGGCTCACAGTGCATCTGACAGGCGGGCATGCTTCGGGGAGGGTGTTATTCCCAAGCCTAGGACAGAGGACCCAGCTCAGCCTGGACCCACCAGCCCCTGTGCCCAGCAACTGGCAGTCAGCAGTCTCCTCCATGGTCCTGAGAACATACACCCCCCATTCCCTGAGAAGACTCCTAGCCCCATGGAATGCACCAGGCCAGGGTCAGCCCTGAACCAGGACTCAGGTGTGCACAGCCCCCAGCTCTCATCTCTGGTTCCATCCTCTCTCTTCCGTCTTTGTTGGCCGCTTTCTGGCTCCATTCCATTTCTGTGTGTCCAGCCTCTGGCGTGTTGCATCCTGTCTGCTCCCGTCTTGATCCATAACTCACACCCCTCATGGTGAGACCCTCCTGCCAAGTCCATGGTTCTTTCAGTAGTCTTCACCAAAACCATAATTCAAATCATGCAGGAAGTATCAAACGAGGAGGGAGGGAATACACTGAGCAAGAGGTAGCATATGACCAAGAACTGAAGGTATTGAAGAGGACCAAGTAGTACTGAGGGTATTGGCAAAACACAAAGCTCCTGGCCCTAGGGCTGGACAGACCTCTCCTCTAGATCTGGTTTTCTGTTTGGTGTTGGGCGAAGAGGACAGGGCCAGGAGAGAAGGGTGCATGGCTGTGGGGAGGCCCCTCCTGGTTGCACAGACCCTGGGGAGGGGGCCTCACTAAGCTCATCCGTTTGTCTCCCCCAGACGCAGCTGTGAGCCTGGAGCAGTGTGAACATATTGTGGCGGAGCTCCAGGACAATATGCGTCGGGCCATGCGGCTCTACCGAGTGGTGAGTGTGCCCCCTGGCAGGAGACGGCGTGACTGTAGTACCAACTGCTGGAGATGCTAAGATTCCGGGACAGTCGTGATACGGTCTTTCCTCTGCTGGTGGGCCAGTCCTGGGCAGAGTGGGTGAGAGCCCAGGCAGGGCTATCGAGTCCAGTGCTACCTGGCCACTTCCGGCAGAGAGCTAGACTTGCTCCAGTCACCAAGTGCCACCCTGAGAGATCACCTGCCCTAGTTTCCTCAGGAGGAGCCCAGTGGGTGCCTGTTCCTGCGCACCTGTTGTCCCGAGCATCCCTTTTCATTATTCCTCATGCAGGCGGCAGTCCATGAGGGTCTGATGGAAGCTGCCTCAGGCTAGCCCTAGAGCTTCTGGTTCCAGCCCCTCATCCTCTGGGCCCTGGGAGGGTGTGGGCTTTCTTGCTGAGCTTGGGCCGGGAAAGGTGGACTTTGTACTTTGTTGCTTTCGGGGAGTGTGGAGCCCCCCACAGTTTCTCCAGCTCACCTGGGGCCCTGTTGCAGGTGGCCAGCTGCAAGACACCCTCGGTGGAGCAGAGCCGCATCACTCAGCTCCTCAGAGACACCTTCTCCTCAGTGCGGCAGGAGCTGGAGGCCCTGGCTGGGGCCGTGCTGGCCAGTCCGGGGGGCAGCCCAGGGGCAGTGGGAGCTGAGCAGACGCAGGCCCTGCTGGAGCAATACTCGGAGCTGCTGCTTCGAGCCGTGGAGCGGCGCATGGAACGCAGACTCTGAGTTCCCGCAGACTCTCCCAAGTGGACAAAGTGTGGCTCCTTTGCCACTCACCAAAAGCTGCGGGCGGGGAGGCTTGGAGCGGCCCGCAGGGACCAGCGCTCAAGAGGGCCGTCTGCCCCTCAGAGGCCCCTGTATTTATTAATTTATTTCCCTGACTGTTGCCTCACTTCCTTGGAACCCCTGCTTCCACAGCCCCAGGGCTCGTGGCTCGTGGCAGGGGTCGGTCCTAGGTCTTAAGTCATCTTGGTGCTGTGAGGGGTGGGAGGGCAGCCTTCCCACCTGGGGAAATGGGCAGGCCGGCCCTCCCATTTTCGAAGCCATTTGAAATTACTGCAGGGATCAGCTCCCTGGGGTGGAGCATACACAGGGTATTCTGTGGGGTAGAGGTGAGAGGTGGGAGGGTAGTCAGTGCCCTTCAGCAAATGGGAGCTTCACCTCTACCTCCACTTCCCCTCCCAGACCAGCTGCACTCGCCTGGCTGCAGAGCAGGCCTTGGGTTCTCCCCAATTCCTCACAGCCCACTGACCCTCCGGGGCATTGCCTGCCTTTAGGAGACCCCGGTTGTTATCAGGGCCCCAGCCTCCACCACATTCCACTCCCATGCCCCCTTAAGGGACCCCTAGCATTATCTGTTACCTACTCCTAACCCCCCCCCTCCCCCCCCAGTCAGCCCTGGTGCAACCAGCTGTGGGACATTGCTGCAGGACAGTAAGCCCTTGGCTGGGCAAACATAGCAGCCTGATTCCCTTTCCTCAGGCCTCCCCCTCCTCTCCAACCCTAGTCCCCACCAGGCTGCCGGAGTCTAGAGGCTACCTGCTCCCTGCATCCTGAGAGATGCTCAGTCAGAAGCCTGTGTGGGAATTTCCTTATGGTTTACAGGGCGCCAGCCCACCTTCTAAGGACCTTGGCTATGAGATGAAACTGTCCTACATGCAGACGCACACGTGCACACACACAGGCACACATGCACACGGCTCTATGTTCTTTGCTTGAGTACTTGAATGGTGGCTGTGTGCCTGATTCTGCTTCACTTCCTGCCCCAGCTTCACCACCTGGCTCATGTACAACTCAACCATTGGCACAGAAGAGATGAGACACACTAAACCCAATTCTGGATTCTGGGTGCCCAGGCCTAACTAATGGGAGATGCCTCGGGGGAACCTGGTCTGGCGGGCAGGAGCCTCCCCAGGTGCTGGAGGTTGGGTAGGGAGGCCTGGGGACCAAGAGACACACTGGAAAGGTGGGAAATGGGCCAGGTAAGTGGCAGAGGTGCGAGGCTAGTTTAGTATTGAACGAGTGGGGCAGTGATTAGGATCGAGAGGGGACAGACATGAGGCACAGTAGGCGGTAGAGAGAGACCAAGTAATGCAGCATTGGTTGTCAGAGTTGGGTGAAGAGCGTGTGTCTCTGACCCCTGTGGCTTCCCTCTGCCCCCGAAAGGGCAGGGCAGCTTTAGCACAGCTTCAGGCTGCAAAGCCCACTCACTGGCTTGGATAGCCCTCCAGACCCTGCTGGCTGCATAGGCGGAAGGGAACTGGGCACTGAAGGATGCCTGGCTCTGTCACATCAGTTGCTTTGCACCTGACATAAAAACCTATCTCACCTCACTTTCTACCACCGCTGTCACCTGCATGGGCAAGCTGCAATGAGGCCGCAGCTTCCAGCGCTCATGAAGTCCAAGGTGGTCCCTGCAGGGCTGCCCCTGCCAGCTGCCCTGTGAGGGTTGGTCATCCCTCAGCTCACAACAGCCACATCCTACCCAAAGTAGGGCTCTAGCCTGGCCCTCTGGGCTTGGCTTTCCCCATCCTGAGGGGACTACACTCATACAAAGTTTTTTTTTTTTTCAGAAGGTGGGTTCCTTCCCCCCTGCCTAGGGTCAGGCTGGCGCCCGTCCCCTTCTGCATGTCTGAGGCCACTGGCAAGGGCCACCCCCTTCCAGATTTGTCCCGGCCAGGTTTGAAGGCCCTTATTTATAACTTTTATACTTTGTCCAGGCCGTGGCGCTTTCCTCCTCCTCGGGCTCGTACGGGTTCCGGGCTGTTTTTAACGTGTCCGTTTGTATTGATGTATGGACTTGTCAATAAACAATCAATTTATTACCTTGGGCTGCGGGCCTGTGAGGCAGGCAAAAGGAAGGCCTGCTCCAGGGGAGGCTCCGGGGGGCGGGGCCTTTCGGGGCGGGGCGGGGCCGGGCTTCGGGATGTCTGGCTACGGGGCGGGGCCTCAGGGAGGGCCTTTCGGGCTCGCTGGCGGCAGTCATGGCGGAGGCGGCTTTGGAAGCCGTACGCAGGGAGTTACAGCGCTTCCCGGCCGCGGCGAGGGGTGAGTGGACCCTTAGGACATCTCGACGTCCTCGCATCGCCCGCGGAGCAGCTCCGGGCCGTGGACGTGGCCTTAGCCTTAGCGGGGGTCGAGTGCCGGAATCGGGTGCGCCGCCGCCGCCTCACATCCCAGGCCACGCCCGCCTAGTCACGTGTTCCCCGGGTCCCTGGACCACGTGCGCGGGCTGCTTGTGGCCCCACCCATCACTTTGCGGGTGCGCTCTCCCTTCGGCCCCACATGTTAACGTTTGTGGTTTTCGGGGGGGAGGGGTGTACGTGTGTGTAGTGAAAATACCACAAAACCGTTTTCTACTTCAACAGTACGTGCTCAGTGACATTAATTACATCCGTTAAGTTCAGTGACCTTCACTGCCATCCGTTTCTGAAAATTTCCACCACGCGTCACAGCAGCTCTGCTCCTGAGGGACTTGGGGCCTGTTTTGACCCCGGTACTGTCCTGCTGTTGTTCTTCTTGTCCTTCCTGACCTGAAAGCGTGTCAGGTGCCACCGAGTCGGTGCTGACTCTTAATGACCCTCTGTGTACAACAGCGTGAAACACTGCCCGCCCCGCCGTCATTCAGATGCACCCAGGCTTCTTAGAACAGGCCTCCTTGTTCTGTGTCCAACTTTCACATGCGAAGGAGGGGCTTGAAAATACCATGGCTTGGGTCAGGTGCACGTTAGCCCTCAAAGTCACGTTCTTGCTTTTCAACATTTAAGGGGTCTTGTGCTGCAGATGTACCCAATGCAATGCGTCATTTGGTTTCTGGACTGCTGCTTCCATGGGCATTGATTGTGGGTCCAAGCAAGGTGAACCCTTGACCACTTCAACTCTTTCTCCATTGATCATGACCGTTACCTATTGGTCAATTTGTGAGGATTTTGATCTTTACACTGAGTAGTAATCCACACGGAGGGCTCCCATCCTTGATCTTCATAGGCAAGGGCTTCAAGTCCTCCTCACTTTCAGCAAGCAAGGTTGTGTGCCCTGCATATCACAGGTTGTTGACAAGCCTTCTTCCAATCCTGATGCAGCATTCTTCTTGTAATCCAGCTTTTCTAACTATTTGCTTGGCATACAGAATATATAAGTATAGTGAGAGGATACAACCCTGACACCCTTTCTGAGTTTAAACCATGCAGTATTCCCTTGTTCTGCCTCTTGATCCAAGTCCAAGTTAAGTTTTGCATGGGCTCAGTGAAGTGTTCTGAAATTACCCTTCTCAAGGATACCCATAGTTTGTTTTTAAAAAAAATCATTTTATTGGGGGCTCATACAAATCACAATCCATACAGACATCCATTGTGTCAAGCACATTTGTACATTTGTTGCCATCATCATTCTCAAAACATTGCTTTCTATTTAAGCCCTTGATATCAGCTCATTTCCCTCCCTCCTTCCCCGATCCTCACTCCCTCATGAACCCTTGATAATTTATAAATTATTATTGTTTTGTCATATCTTACACTGTCCAACGTCTCCCCTCACCCACTTCTGTTGTCCATCCCCCAGGGAGGAAGTTATATGTAGATCCTTGTAATCGGTTCCCCCTTTCTACCTCACCTTCCTTCGACCCTCCCTGTATCGCCGCTCTCACCACTGGACCTGAAGGGATCGTCTGTCCTGGATTCCCTGTGTTTCCAGTTCCTATCTGTAATTTTGGCGTTTCTTAATACCAAGACAGGAACATTGGCAACAAGTATCTGTTTGAGTCCTTACTTTCAAGTGTCTAGGTTATGATGTATACCTAGGAATGGAATCGCTGGGTCATATGGTAATTCTGTGTAACTTTTGAGGAACACAGAGGCTGTACCATTTTACATTCCCACCAGTAGTGCAAAAGGGCTCCAATTCCTCGATATCCTCACCAACGCTTGTTAGTTGACATTTTTTCCTGACCAGATCTATCCCAGTGGGTGTGATGCAATATCTCATTGTGGTTTTAATTTGAATTTCCCTAATGTCAGTCTGTGCTAGCTCTCCTTAAAGTGTTGAAAGGCTACCAAGTGACTTTGAGGACTAAAGTGTGCCTGACCCAAGGCAAGATGTTTCAATCACCTATACCTGTGAAAGCAGGACCCTGAATAAGGAGGAAAACCCCAGAAGAATCTGCATTTGAATGTGGTGCTGGCCAAGCATATTGAAAGTACCACGGACTGCCAAAAAGGGCAAATAAATATGTCTTGAAAGAAGTATAGCCAGAATGCTCCTTAGAGTCAAGGATGGAGAAGCTTTGGATATGTTGTCAGGAAAGACTAATCCCTGGTGAAGGGCACTCTGCTTGGGAAAGTGGAGGGCGGAGAAAAAGAAGGCCTGTGACCAGACGGGTTGACACAGTGGCTCCAACATGGTTTCAGACATAAAAGCAATTGTGAGGAGGGTGCAGGACTGGGCGGTGTTTTCTGTGGCACCCGGGGTTGCTCTGGGTTGGGACTGACTGGCTAACACAACAACAACTAATGAAGGAGCCCTGGTGACTGAAGAGGTTATGCATTGGGCTACTAACGACAGGGTCAGCAGTTTGAAATCAGCAGCAGCTCTGTGGGAGAAAGATGTGGCTTTCCTCTCCTGTAGAGATTTACAGTCATGAAAATCCACAGAGCCAGAATTTACTTGATGTCACAGCGCTTACTGACTGATGAAGGAGCCCTTGTGTCATAGTGGGTTAGGCTGTTCGGCTGCGGCCTGCAAGCTGCAGTTCTAAACCACCAGCCGCTCCTCCGGAGATAAATGAGGCTTTCCAGTCCAGTAAAGAATTAGTCTCAGAACCCCTCAGGGGCCGTTCAACTCTATCCGATAGGGTGATAGTGTTGCTGTATTTGTTTTTGTTTTCATGAACGACTTAATGACCAGAGTCCTGGCGGCATAGTGAGTTATGAGTTGGTCAGTGGTTCAAAACCACCAGCCAGCCTGAGGGAGAAAGTTGAAGCTCTCTGCTCCCATGAGGACTTATAGCCTCTGAGGCCCACAGGGTTTCCAAGACTAAATCTTCATGAGAGCCACTGTGTCATCTTTTTCCGGTTTCGGAGCTGGTTGTTTCAAACCGCCGACCTTCCCTCCCCATTAGCTGCCAGGCTGTCTTCCCACAAAGAGGGCAGCCGAGGAGACCCGACGGGGCAGTTCTGCTTTGTTCCACACCCACCTAAACCCACTGCCGTCACCGCAACTCCCACTCCGGCGACCAGGTATGGGGTCTCCAAGACTGCCAGTCTTTATTTATTTATTTTTATTTCAGTCCTATCAGATTTTCTTCTTTTTAAAATTTATTGTTTTTATTTTTTAAAATCATCTTACTGGGGGCTCGTACAACTCTCATCACAATCCATCCATCCATTGTGTCAAGCACATTTGTACATTTGTTGCCCTCATTCTCAAAACATTTTCTTTCTACTTGAGCCCTTGGTATCAGGAGCCCTTGGTACTGGAGCAGAAACCTCATCCTCACCTGGAACAGAAGGTAGGTTTGAATTGTTGACTTGCGGGCAGTCCAATGGCTATTCCACAACCACCAGGGCTCCTTAAAAAACAAACAAACAAACAAAAAAGTCAAACACAGCCATGGAGTCATTTCTGACTCATAGAGACCCTGTCGGACAGAACAGAACTGCTCCTGGTGTCTATACAGGAATATAAGGTCTCACCTTTCTCCCAACTAGTGGCTGGTGGTTTCAAACTGCTGACCCTGAGGTTAGTTAGCAGCCCAACGTGTGACCCCCTACATCAACAGGGCTTCTTAGAGTTGCTGTCAGTCTGCGTGGACTCCGTGGCACACAGAAAGAATACAATGGTTCACGCTGTTGGTCAGCTCTTCACGTACTGCTTGACCATGTGTAGAAAGCCTCTTGGTAGAAATGACGGTTTGAGTCTTTGGCCTATTTTGATCTTGGGTGGTTTGTCTTTGTTGTGAATTTGTAGGGATTCTTTATATATTCTGGATATCAAACCCTTATCATTGAATTAAAGATTCTCAAATGTTTTCTTTCTATTCTACAGGTTGATGAAATCTTTACTTTTTTCCAAACGGTTTTATTGGCATCTATTCATATAAACAATGCAGTAATTCAATCACAGTTGTACAATTATCACCACAGATTTAGGACAGTTTCTTTAGTCTTGTACTCATCGCTATTAGCTCTCCATTTCCCACCACCCTCCCCTGCCATACCCCCCAGGAACCATTAATCCAGTTACTGTCTCTAGATTTACCTATCCTGGATTTCTTATACAGAGAAACATTAAAAAACAAAAACTAACAACAATAACAAAGTTATAAAACAGATAAAAACCTCAGTTGTAAACTAACAAGGATGTCTCTAAGGTGATCCAGAGCCAATTAAAAACCATAGATTCAGGAATGGATTTTGGGTTCCCACTTAATCCTAGCTTCAACCTAAGAACAATTAGTTCTTACACCATGGCCCTGCTCAATAGTCACCCTCATGAAGGAAACAGAGAGGATAGGGGTGCTGTAGCAAAATTCCTGTGGCGCAGAAATTAGGTGGTGCCCGGCTATCAGATAGAACAGTGTCTGAGGTCTTCCAAGCAAACAGCCATCCAAGTGAGACCTCTACTAAGTCCACCCAGAAGAAGCACACCAACATCTGTGATCCACGAACTGTAAATTACAAATCCGAAGAAGAGAGTATTATCCAAATTGAAATGGTGAGACTCTGGTTGCAGGAGGTGATGGATGAAGTGGAAGCCCCAAATACACTTGCAGGTTCTACATAGGGAATAAACCTCCAGTGATTTCCCTGGGACCATAATTGAGGCATGGGGATAACCTGGTTACCAGACAGAGAGTGTTGGAGAGATGACTATAGTAGATTAAAATGATAAATCCAATTCGAACAGTTAAAACCTTGTCACTTGATCCCTTCTCTGATATATTTTGTGCTTGATGTGGTTTTCAATATTTTCTGGTGTTTTTTTTTTCCATTTTGAGATTTATATCTGCTGTAGTTTGTTATTGTGGGTAGCAATCTTGAATCTGCTGTGTG